TATGAATGTATGAATGAATGTATGAATGTATATATATATATGTATATATATGTATATATATATATATGTATATATATATATGTATACCTATGGGTTGGTCCAAGGGAGCAGGAAACCCAGGGTGAATGTTGCTGGACCAACCGTCGCACTCGACCATACTCGACCCATCTCCAGGAGCCTGTCCTAAAGACTCCCAAGTACTGAAGGTGTCTAGCACCTGTCACAGGAAAAACATCGCTACGTTGCTGGTGTCGAGGATGCCAGTAACGGTGATCGGACACGACTGCTGTCTAGACATATAGACATTGACTCAATACATTCATGTCATATGTATACATGACTATCTCATTGCGTGTATTCATCTGTGTACAGTGTACATGTTGTATATCATACGTATTTACAATTTTATGCACATAGTAAACTTAGTGTGCATGATATCTTCTTGTATACGTAACATCGCTTGATGTTGCCACTTGGAAACGGCGGCACCGCGGAGCCTTGTCATCCTGCAGGAGTTTGAGTCCGAAGATAGAACACCTCGGAAAATTGTCCGCTGTAAAATAGGTACTTTGCCATAAACCCAATTATGATTTGTATCAAACGGTATCAATAATTGTTGTTTTATCTTTCCCGGCCTCTATGAGAACCTTTGATTTGCCGTATCGGATTTGCTTTTATTTTGGTGCAGGATGGCCCAGGCATTAGGGAATATTTAATAGGGGGGCCGGGATTCAGCAGGATTTCCATCAGCTGGGAATCGCTGCCCAGCGAGCACATCTTTTCTCTGCTGCACGAGTCCCATTGACAGTTGGGCTAGTTTCCCACTGGACAATTGGTACAAAGAGATCTGCCAAGCAGACGGGACATGTAGAGGTGAGAATCGATACTCGTGAAACTCCGATCACTGTTGTGAAGTTCGAATGCCTTGCTTTCAAGCCAGCGAACTGGTCAAAATGAGGCCAAGTCCACTCATTTGCTGACGCCGGTTGCTGCTTCGGCCGGGGGCTTCTGCTCCCGACCTTGTCGCCATCTGTAGTAGGCCAAACCTGCTACTAGGATCAAACACACAACCATGGAGGCGTAGAGCAAGTCAACTCGTCCTTCCTCTTCCTCTTCTTCTTCCTCCGCCTTTCGAGCTTCATCATTCATCTCCTTCTCCGCAGCTGAGCTGCTGTTCAGCGGCAAACCGGTCTCTTTGGCCACCATCTCTTCGATCTTGAAGAACTTGGCCACTTCAGCTTCTGCTTCCTTCAGGTTGTTTGGACCAACTGCCTCACCCTTGCCCTTTGGCTCTTTAGGCCCATCCTTTCTGGCTGCGTGGACCGCCACTGGGCTGGGCCATGGCAGACCTGAAGAACTGGGAATGCTGTCTGACTGGGACGTAGGCTGCCATCTTTCAGCTGCATCTGCCACTTTTCGCATGACCATCTGACCATCTGCCGTGATGACGCCTTGTCTCTTCACCTCATGGCCAGCAGCGGTTGCGGCAACCGACCAGAGCAGAAGATATGAAAGACTTGACTTAGACATGGCTGAAATCTTCGAAGCTTGAGCCCTTCAGCGCTTGAGCCAGAAAGCAAAGGGATCTCTCCGATTGTACCGTCCATGCCAAAGTGTCAAAACTCAAGCAAGGCCTCTGAACAGTACTAATGGACTACTGGGAATCTTGTCTATGTTTTCAGCCTAACAGTTCCAGCTTGGCAATCAAAGGCAAACACTTCATCTGACTCCCATGACTCTTCTTGACTATCCCAGAAGACAATCTGTCGCAGCGGTCCCAACCACTGCCACAGCAACATTCACTCAACCTTTGCCACGAACCAGCCTGGCATTCCATCTTACAAATCGACATCCTCCACCAAATTCCCAGAATAGGATGTATACAATTTTGAATATTTTGCTGGTTCGTAATCATTTTTCCTTCTTAAACGTGTAATTGATCGGGGTATCCACCGATTTCAATTTCTGCAGAAAAACAATAATGGTTTTGGTGAAGTGTATCCCGTAAAATACACCCCTCAAATGCTCAGTGTCATATCACCATGTTCCAGCATTGTCCCATATGATTGCCTATCCCACGACATATCTATCCCCATCATTTCTTTTGGTGCCCTTTTTCCAGCCCTCTTTCCACGATGTCTGGACCTAAGGCCCGAACTTGAGTTGCTTGGCAACTTCACGTTTGATCCCAAGCACCGTCACGGGAATTTCCAACTTCGCAGCATCAATGGAGGTCACCTGCCAGGGGCGACCTCAATTTTCGGTGAGGTCATCCGATTCCTGGCCACCTATGAGTTCTCTTGTCAAGTTTCTCAATGAGCATAGCTTATAGTCATCTCCAAATGGATGGAAAAGTAAATCACCATGAAATAAGTAGGGATTTACTGTTCCATCTATTTGGGGATGACTATATATATAATATATATACATATGTCTTACTGGTGCTTAGTAGGGAATGGATGGGAATGGGGGAATGGAATTAATATTCATCATTCCCTCATTCCCTACTAAGCACAAGCTTATATATATATATAAGTAAAATCCAAAATCCTACTGGTCCTACTGGAAAGTGATTTTCCTGCATGTGGGACTTAAGCTAATTATATACATGTTCAATCATGTTCATAATTCGTAGCCAATTTCATCTTCCCATAGAATAATGATAAAATATGATAAAATGGGTTGATATGTCAGAAATATGTCAGAAAATATCAAATTTGCTCTGCTTTATGGTTGCAAGTTATCCCAGATTTCCCAGCCTGGGACCTTGAGATCCCCCATGACGTGCATGAAACCCTATCAAAAATACGTGCATGAGTATGATGTATATGGTACAGATATGGTACAGATATGGTACAGATATGGTACAGATATGGTACAGATATGGTACAGTATCTGAGTGGGGGGCAATAATCTATGAACCATTATGAACCAACCACCATGATTTGCCCGGTATGCCTTGCCAGAGAGGCCGCTCACAGCAATCATGGCTGATCAGATGCCAATAAGAAAAGTTGATGTCCAATTGGCGGGTTACTCTTGGATAGTATCAAGACAGTATCCAAGTGCAGCACTGAATACTGCTGGATATCTCTTGATATTAGATACTAGTTATAACAGTGCCAATTCACTGCATCAGGTGACTGGATCTAGCCGTACAGTCTGGGAATATCTGGGATATCTGGGATACTGCTTCATGAATGTTCTTCCAGGTCTATGAAAACAGCTTCATGTCAATTCTGTGCATCGATATTTTCTCCACTTTTCTTGGCAAAAACCAAGGCGGCCATGGTCTCCACATGTTGCTTTGTCACTTGAGGAATCAGTTGGACCTTCAAATGTCCAAAGGCTCCTTGGTCCAAATGATCAGCACCAGCGGAGCAAGTCGCCGTCCGACATCAATTTGGGATCTCCGAAAAACTGACGTCCAGATGGGGTGGTGACGTGGTGATGGAATCGCGAAAAAAACAACTCTTTTGGAAAAATGAGTATTTCACCCCAAAATATCAAGGTATACAAAAATGCTCTGGCAATTTTTTAATGTTCATCCACCAGGCAAATCTAAGGAGTTTTTTGTGTCCCATCCTGGGTCCTCCCTGGGTCCTCCCCATTTGGGGTCCCCGGGCCCTTGTTGTTGGCCGGGATGGCCACATCCACGTTCTCCAACGGGGAGTCCGTGTCACACAACGCGATCACGGGGATGCTGGCATAGGAGGCCTGGGAGGGAAAGATAGAGGAGAACTATTCGATATGTAATCTTATCATAGAATATTTAAAATTATATTTATATATACAGTTACCTATATTCATATATATATATAGCTACCTATATATATGTATATATATATATATATACACATGTAGTTATATAACCCTCTGCTTATTTAACAGTTTGCAAACTGGAACATGGCCCATTTAGTTCGATGGTTTATGATTATTTGCCTATTAAAAATGGTGATTCTACATAGCTACATTAAATAACCAGAGGGTATATGATATAATTATATATTATATATATATTAGTATAAATAGATGTGTTCATGCAATTCTTAGACCAGCGATTTTCTATATACTGTGTAATATTTTATTAGAATAGTTAGAATATACACAGAATTAAGACTGATCAGACTGATCTATTAGAATATGTTCTATATTAGAGGATAAATGTTTATAGATTGGTTTATGTTATAAATTGTCTTTGGAGGACAACTACATGCCAAGTACATAAATATATATATATAGTTATATGTTGTATAGCTCTTGAATGTCACATACTTTTTCTATTCTGCAACCACTATGGTGAAGTTTGAGATGTGCGAATGGTTAAACAGACAGAGGCTGTTTGCTATGACATGTTTCAATAAACAGAGTGAAGCCTGTCCTACAACTCGAAGCCATCTTCATTCAGCCCCTTCTGGTTCATCATGGTTCATCAGAATGTGATTGACAAGCCCCCCTTGAGATTGATTTGCACCAGCCTCTACTGAACGCATCTGAACAATCCAAACTTCGAGGAAATCGAGTTTATTGATCTTCCTGTCTTTCCATATGCTAATAACAGCCATTAACACTCATTAACAGCCATTAATGATATCATTAAGGGCTGTTAACATTGTCTTCCTGTTTTATGTTAACAGCCATTAACAGCCCAAACCTGACCTTTGCCCAGTCGGCACCTCCTTGATTGCCTGGCTATCAGTGCGGGGGTCGGTCACAATCAGCAGCCGGGGCTCTAAATACTTCTGCCTCGGAGCGCTACCGTACACGTCGGTCGAAGCATGGGCTGGAAAATTCCCAAAAAAAAACATGAACATATATGGAAAATACTGTGAATATATGTGAATATATAAATGCTGGAGTTTCAAGCGCTAGCTTGATGACTAGAAGGTAATCGCATCTTTTCTTTTAGCCTCGATCAACGGCTCAGTATCAAGGCATGGCTTTATACCAATGCCCCTTGGATCCATAGCTGGCTGGTTTGACCTTAATGGGTGATTTTTTTAAAGAGCCATCAACCTGAATCTCTCCAAGAGTTCATGGTTAAAAGAACAACATGTTGAAGCATATCTATACATATCTATACCTATACTCATATATCTATATTACTATATCTCCATATCCATATCTATATATATACTATATACACTATACATATATATTTCTATATCTATATATATATGTATATATATTATATATCTATATATGTTATATTAATAATATAATATATTCGATCTCTATAAGGTTTTTAAAAACCTCCTGCCAAGGGGCGTGATCTGGTTGGTCAAGGTGCCGGGAGTCCATCGTCCCGCTAAAGGGTTGGCCCCCGTATACCTTCGGCGCCAGGGTCATATCGTGGGGATATCCCATCTATAGTTAGATAACCTGCTATGGGGCACCAAAAAAATGACCATCTATAGATGGGATAACCTTATCTACAGATGTTCGAATCTAAGTTAAGTTGGTTTGTATATAATGCCAACACCGGATTAATAAACCCCCCCCCCACCAGGTAGGTAGGTAGGTAGGTACCTTCTAGCTAGTTTTCTTGACCATCCCTTAATAATAAGCAACTCTGAACCAGAAAAATTTGGATATGGCTTGAGTCAATAAGATCATCATAGAATTCCATTGGATATCATTAGATTTGATACTTAAAACCTCATGAATTTCATCAGACCCCATTGGATTTCATGAGATTTTAAAAAAATGGATTTCCGAAGTGGTGGTTGATTAATCGGGGGTAGGCCAAAAAATTTATTAATCCTGGGGAACCACCTGTTTTTAAATTACATTTTTTTTTTGGGACAGTTTCTGTTGATTAATCGGGGGGCATTATTAATCCTCACTTGGCATTATATATATATATACATATGTATATATCCCATCTATATCCCATCTATATCCCATCTAGCTAAGTTGGTTTATTTAAAAAAAAGTCCAATGAATCTAGGGTTTATAAAGGGCTGATTTCTGTTTTGTAAATGTGGAATTTTTCAACCAACTTGTATCTCCCAGATATATAGATGATTTATGGGTATCAAATCATAAAGGTGTACTTATTGGATATATATATATACATATGTCCAGATATAAGTGTTGGATGTATAATTCTATGTATATAGTATTATATAGTTGAGATAAAGTTGGTATATATATATATACGTCTAAAATCATTAATATAATTTGGAGGCCAAAAATATGTATCTACAGAATTAATCATAATTATATATACGTCCAAGAATATGATGGTGGGATATATTGGGGTTGTCCGGCAATGGATCATTCACCACCACTTGACTGCAATTTGTCTGAGGAAATTCATTACGACTGGATCTGGGGTAGATGAACATGGACAGAGCCATATGCGGCCCTGCAAAATGTGGAGAAAGAGCCAGACAATTCACCAGAAAATTCACTGAAAAATCAATAATTGGGTAAAGTATGGTTAAGTTATGACCAACCTGTTCAACCAGCTGGTGATGTTTTTCAGAGTTCAAGAGGGGCGCTTTTTTCCAGGTTTGTCCCCATTTGACTCACGGATCGAGATCTCAAGAAATTGCTTCGTCAGATCCTCCGACCCCTAAAATACGGAATTATACTAAATACCTCCAAAATGAATAGGATCCAATCCTAAACTGGGGTTCGTTTGTGAGGTATTTACTACTGAGGGGAGGGGGATTCTATATGGTTTCATGAACTTATTAATTCCGATGAAATCCCATTAAAATTCCATTAAAATCACAATAGCATCCTATTAAATCCCATGAAATTCCATTAAACCCCATGAAAATCCCATAAAATCCCATGAAAATCACATTAATTGCAGACCAAGCGGCTGAGAGAACTTCAGCACTGCACGGGAACCATACGGTCGCCTCGACAAACATGTGCGACATCGTGCGAGGCGATCCACACATCCAATTTTTTCGGTAGGATTTCATGGGAGAATGAATGGGATTGAATAGGACTAATGAATATGAATTAGTCCTATTAGTCCTATTCAATCCCATCAATAGTTATGAGTCAATCCCACTAATATTAATAGGACTATGAATAATTAATATAGTTACTAATCATTATAACTAATCATTATAACTAATATTGATATTCATAGTCCTATCAATGAATGGGATACTATGATTATAACTAGTAGGACTATGAATAGGACTATGATAATTAATGGGATTGAATTGGATAATTAATGGGACTAATTAACATTCGATTATGATGGGATGATATGGTTAAATGAATGATATAGGATACGTGACATAATTAATAGAAGATGGCATATGATATGATATTCAATGGGATAATCGGATAATTCATGAATAGGATATATGATGCTATCTATAACCTCTGAGGCTCTGGTAATTGAACACTTTGCAAACTGGAAGCCATGGCCCATTTAGTTTGATGCTTTTACCTATGAAACGTGGTTATTTTCCATAGCTCTGTTAAATGACCAGAGGGATCGCATGAGTTGAAGAAGAGCATGCCTCAAACCACGTCTGAATTGTAGTCTTGACTGTACCAAACCCTCCACTATTCGGTAGGAAGTACGACTGATGGTCACAGGCTGCCGACCCAGAAATGGTTGGTCATTGTCAGTGTTTATCTATGTTTATCTTATCTAAGCACATGAATAAACTTGAACATCCATATGGTATATACATTATATACTCTTGAAATTTAAGATCATGTAAAATTGCCCATTGATGATTTACCCATTCTATGCAATTTTCTATCATTTTACCATTGCTATGTCAGATTGCAAGAGGGCATACAACAATTCACCACCCTACAAAGGTCTGCTCATTGTTTTGTTGCTCAAGTTTTCCTCATCTTCGGGGTGTCCTAAAAAATTGGGCTACCCCAGCTATTGGGGTACCCCCATGACGACCTGGAACCCCCCATGTGGATTCAATGAAGGTGATGGATACAACATGAACTCCTTAACTTAGCTGACTTAGCTCCCTCCTACCCTCTGGTAAACTAACATAACTATGGAAAATCACAATTTTTAATGGGAAAAACAACTATTTCTATGGCGCTATTTTCGTCATTACCGGAGGATAACCACTAGTCGTACCATCCGCTAGTTCCATGGCTGGAACATCATTGAGTTTCTGGGATTTCCCAGCTTGCGACGTTTGATGACCTCGGAAGGTAACCCTAATTGTTGATTAAAAAAAAAACATAGAAAAAACCCATGAAATCCCTACTAAATCTCCATGATATCCCAGTCATGTTCTCATATTTGTTGGTTAAATCCCCATTCCTGTAACCCAACTGGTGCTTATATATCCGGTTATATCCCTATTAAATGTGTACATCCCATTATCTCCCATTAAATTCGCACTAAATCCCATCAAAAATCCATTCAAATCCAACATTCCATAACATAAAATCCCATAAACAATCTCATTCAACCTGTATATCCCATAAAATCCCATAAACAATTCCATAAAATCCCATAAAATCCCATTAAAATCCCATTAAAATCCCATAAAATCTTATAAATCCCATAAAATCCCCTTAAATTCCCATGAAAAGGGCAATTTTTCCCTAGCTGTTTCAACATCCCAGTGTCTGGGAGGCCACGATGATGTCCTGGGGGTTCTCTATGGCCACGATCCTCGACACCGCTGGGATGGCTCTGATATAAATATTGTGTATATTATAGTAATATAGATATAATTAGATATATATGTATGATATGATATTATTATAGATGGTTATATGTGATTGTATGTGATTATATGTGATTATATATATGATAATCATTTACATACAACATAATATATAAGACGACCCCGCGCAAGCAAAACACCATGGCCACAGAACGCATCATCAATTCAATGCTGGAGGTTTCATGCAAAAACTAGGTCACGACGCCTGTAATGGCCCTGCTGTTCTTCACCTCTTCATTCGCTGCTTTTTCGTGTTTCGCATGACCCTCACAGCGTTTTCTTGTTCTGCCCATTTGTTGAGTAGCTAATGAACTTCAATTCCTAAACGCAAAAAAAACTGTATTTTTTCATAACAAGCGTGTAGACATGCGACATGCGACATGCGACATGTGACGTGAACGACACAGCACAAAGTGTCAAATTCCCCAGGGCCGGTAGGGGCGTCGTGAGCAAAAACTAACACCGATGCACACTCCAATACATACTTAATCGACGCAAAATGTGATGGAAACTCATTTTTCAGACTATATTCACGACATATTCACAAAAAACAATCGAGATGTCGATTTGCACTGGGAAGATGACCCATCCTAGTGGCAGGAAAACATCACTCTGCCAGTTTTTAAGGGTTTTTCTTCACTGCCAGTTGGGATCATCCCCAGCAAATCCCCATGCCATCCTATGTTGTATCATGATTTTCCCTATGGTTAAAAAGGATGTCTATGGCCATGGGGGTCCCCAGTCAAACCCAAAAAAAAAGCGCATGTTCTGAATGGCCGAGCCGCATTCGGGCTGCAACCATCAGCTTTTCCCAGGTCTTACCCAGGTGGATGATGTGAATTCCCTCCACGGTGCGGCGAAAGATGTAGCCTTGGAACATTTGGAACGGGCCACCGGTGACCAGTGCTACATCCACCCCATCTGAAACACTGCTTGGTTGTATAAGAACGGATTCCCTTCTCATGCATTGTCATCATCCCCAATATATCGCATAATGTATCTCTTGAACTGCGAGCCACATGTTGGGACCATTTTTTTGTTGGGACCATTTAGGATTGTATTTACCTACATGGCCATTGGTTACCTATATTGATGACCATTACTGATATTTGGATTGTAGTTACCTAGGTAAATAGCCCCAAAGTATTGAATGTATATATAGCATATATAGCTAATTACTATAGCTATATTATTTACCCTCTGGTAAACTAACATAATTATGGAAATCACAATTTTCAATGGGAAAATCAACTATAAATGGCCATTTTCAATAGCTATGTTAAATTACCAGAGGGTACCATTTTTGGTACAATCCAAGCGTATTGTAATCTGCTCATCGGGCCCGACCAGGCGACGCTTCATGCGGTAGTCCACGTTTCGGGTGCCCAGATGGGTCTTGCAAACCTGGGATGGGTTGAAGGGAAGGTAAACATCTTAAAACCATGGTGAGTTACCATCCATAAATATATACAGTATGTAATATAATATATGAAATTATAATACGTATAACATAGCATAATATAATACAATATAATATACATAAATATTGAATCGTATATAGATATATACGGATGTATATATAAAATATATATATACATGAATGTATATAGGGGCTCCTGCAAATTGCCCCGTGAACCTCAACAACTATTGCATGGAGCCATCACTCAAATGGCGAATTTCTGAGATGGGACATAGGAAGAGCATCAAAGCCGTTGGGTCTCGGAGTACCCGACGGCTCAAGCATTAAAATGGATCAACCGAAGATGAATAATGTGTATATCTACCGGTATATACTATGTGTATCTATCTATCTGTCTGTCTATCTATCTATCTGTCTGTCTGTCTATCTGTCTGTCTGTCTATCTGTCAGTCTGTCTGTCTGTCTGTCTGTCTGTCTAGCTCTCTCTCTCTCTCTGTCTGTCTGTCTGTCTGTCTATCTATCTATCGATCTATCCATCGATCCATCGATCCATCGATCTATCGATCTATCGATCTATCGATCTATCGATCTATCTTTCTAGCTATCTATCTAACTAGTCTATCTAATCTCTCTGATCTATCTAATCTATCTAATCTATCTAATCTATCCAATCTATCTAATCTATCTAATCTATCTAATCTAATCTAATCTCATCTATCCAATCTAATCTAATCTATCTAATCTAATCTAATCTATTAATTTATCTTATCTATCTTATCTATCGTATCTATCTTATCTGTCTTATCTGTCTTATGTATTTTATCTATCTTATCTATCGTGTCTATCTTATCTATCTTATCTACCGTATCTATCTCATCTATCTGATCTATCTTATCTATCTTACATATCGTTTCTATCTTGTCTATCTTATCTATCTTGTTTATATTAACTATCTTATCGATCTTATCTGTCGTATCTAATCTATCTTATCTATCTTATCTATCTTGTCTATCTTCTCTATCTTGTCTATCTTGTCTATCTTGTCTAGCGTATCTATCGTATCTGTCGTGTCTATCTTATCTATCTATCTATCTGTCTGTCTGTCTGTCTATCTATCTATCGATCTAACTATCTAGCTGTCTACGTATTCATCTATCTATCTACCTATCTACCTATCCTACCTATCCAATCTATCCTATCTATCCTATCTATCCTATCTATCCTATCTATCCTATCTATCCTATCTATTCTATCTATCCTATCTATCCTATCCATCCTATCTATCCTATCCATCCTATCTATCCTATCTATCCTATCTATCCTATCTATCCTATCTATCCTATCTATCCTATCTATCCCCTATCTATCCTATCTATCATATCTATCCTATCTATCCTATCTATCCTATCTATCCTATCTATCCTATCTACCCTATCTACCCTATATATCCTATCTATCCTATCTATCTATCCTATCTATCCTATCTATCCATCTATCCTATCTATCCTATCTATCCTATCTATCTATCTATCCTATCTATCCTATCGATCCTATTAATCCTATCTATCCTATCTATCCTATCTATCCTATCTATCCTATCTATCCTATCTATCCTATCTATCCTATCTATCCTATCTATCCTATCTATCCTATCTATCTATCCTATCTATCCTATCTATCCTATCTATCCTATCTATCCTATCTATCCTATCTATCCTATCTATCCTATCTATCCTATCTATTCTATCCATCCATCCATCCATCCATCCATCCATCGATCCATCCATCCATCCATCCATCCATCCATCTATCTATCTATCTATCTATATATCTACTTATTTTATCTTATCTTATCTATCTATCTGTCTGTCTGTCTGTCTATCGATCGATCTGTCGATCTATCGATCTATCGATCTAACGATCTAACGATCTATCGATCTATCGATCTATATATATATGTGTGCACTTGTTATGTAGTATACTACTATACGGTCTTCTCCATCTTTCCCTGTAGAAATGCTCTATTTTTAGGCCCTCTCGTCACAGGGTCATCTTGAAGATCCAGCCGGGAGACCAACATCATCTGCACATCTTCCTCCTTGGTTGCCGCCATGTTTTCCCAAAAAAATCTTGAGCCGAAAGTCCAGTGCCTGCGTCACAGCATTGGCTTCACCATCTGATCCTTGGCGTATTTTTCCCGGAAAAGTGATTCAACATCTCCTTGGGGGGTGCTCTGCATCAATCAACATCAGCAGGATATGCAAAATGACAAACCGTTTGGGAAATCCAGCACAGTGATTCGGAGATTCATTCGGCAAGCCAGGAGTTCTGGAACAGTAGAAGTATCGGAACAGCAGGGTGATGAGACTAGAATCCAACTCGCCCCGTGGCACATGTACCACAAACGCCTTGTTACCTGCAAACTTCATAAATGGGGAGGAAATCAACATATCTATGCTACCTATTTTGGAACATCTATGCTACTATTGGGAGCTAAACATCCATAAATACCGTTAACTACCAAGCTATTTTGCTGTTCACATATATGTTCACCAGCGTCCCTGGCTCTTCATGCTCTTCATGCTCTTCACTATGTAATCGACTTCTGTTTCCCTGCCCAGGGCCGGCAGGGCCGGAGCTGCGTACTCTGTGGAACAAGGTCTTCTTGTCTCTGCACTGACTGAAGAAGGCAATGAATTGGTGATGGAAGTTTGCCTGGAGCCGCTGGAGCTCAAGGAATCTCCAAGCGCTCACTGGTTGGTGGCATACCTACCCCTCTGAAAAATGTGAAAGTCAGTTGGGATAATTATTCCCCATATATGGAAAAATAAAAAATGTTACAAACCACCAATCAGTTCATGATTCGATTTCTGCGTCGTTGATCAAATGAACTGCTTCTCAGTTCATAGTCGATTCTGCACCTTGAGAGTTTCTGTTCTGAATTCAGGGGCATCAGTGAAACCATGGCAATCGGGACTCTTTGTAGCAGCTACGTCCCCTGTGTACGGCGTTCAAAAACTTCGAAGAAATATTCACTGGGAGTCTAAGTATTCTGATGTCATAAAACATATAAAACGATATACCTTCTGGTAAACTAACAGTTTGCGAACTGGAAAATCACCATCGTTGAAAACGGTATATCAACGAACTAGCCATGGGCCATGTTCAGTAGCAAACTCGGCAGCTCGGTCGCCTCCCTGGAAGCACGGCGGCTCACGGTGTAGTAGCAGAGCCATTGGTAGTCTTCGGGCTTCACCTGCAGTGATTTTTCACTGGGATCATGAAAATAAAAAAAACATCTCTGGTATCTAAGAAATGCCTGAAACATGTGTGTGTGTGTTTTGATGCGTTGCTTTATTCATGGAATCAGAAGTTGTGTTTGCTGATGTTTCTTCCCGCGCTTGAATCAACCTGAAGAATGGTGTTTTTGAAAGCGGAAACCCGTTTTTCAGGTTTGAGACCAGCGAAATTCGATTCGCACGGGGCAGAATGTTGCTCATCTGCTGCATCTGAGAGGGAAAGAAAACATGAGCGAGGGACTGTTGGGGGTGGCATTTTTTTCTTGGACTCAGTTGCTGACGTGACGCTGCAACTGATCTACCTTTTCAGGGATGTTGTCCTGCAGCCAAAGAACTTGAGAGATGGTCTTGCAGATCGTTGCAGTACAATGCAATGCAAGATTCAGGTTCTGAACTTTAAAACATCAGAGTGAGCCCATCTGGTAGGAACATAAAACATCAGGAGGAACAGGACGGACAAAGACGCAATCGGATGCATCAGGCAGCATTCACACGGGTGAGACGGTGCCCTTGAAGCGTAAGAATACTGCATCTTAATGATCAAGGAATGAAGAATAATCTTGCTGGAATGCATATCAAGTACTTTGTGTCCGAGAACGCTTGGATCATGGGTGATTTCGGTAGTTGCTTTTTCAAGTAGGCCCATGACATACCAATTGTGCATCATGTACCAATGTTTGATAACCTCAGAATGTAGCATTCAGGATGCTGGCGGTTTCAACTCCCTTTCCATGGAGACATCATAGGGCTTTGACACTATACCACCTTGTATCACTCACACAAATTACTATGAAATGGGTTTGTGAATACATATGTTGAAGCCCAAAATCTCTTTGTACCCCATTATTCCATACTTGTTGTGCTTATATCCCCCATGTTTCAGTTAAGACCATATCCCCACTGGTTCCGAATGTGACATTCCTATTACCATCCCCCGAACTAAAATTCATCTAGACCCTGAAAACCCAGTAATTTTGGCAGAGTCTATCCTGCTTAGAGGGATGGTATGTGTTGATAATCCCCTTCAAGATCAACGGCTGGTGAGATCCCACATTGGTGAGAACCTGTAACCGCTGGCTCTGG